GCCGAAGCGCCGCTGCAGTACAGCCTTCTTCTGCAGCACCTGGTGGGTGACAAGCGCCAGCCCAGGCCCTTGGAGCCCGGGAGCCTGGGCGGGATCCCGAGTCCGACCAAGAGTGAGGAGCAGAAGATGATCGAGAAGGCGATGGAAAGCTGCGCCTTCAAGGCAGCGCTGGCCTGCGTGGGAGGTGAGGCCGGGCGAGGGAGCCCGTGGGCGGCTGAGGGTTTGGATGGCAGCAGGGTCCTCTGCCATGACCAGGCGCCTGGGAGGAGAGGAGCCTGGGGGCCTCGACCTTGACTGCACCCCGTCTCTTCCGGTGAACGCCAGCCACGCTCTGTAGACTCTGGAAATTGGATCAGAGAAGCGGTACGATGGGTCGGGGCCTAGACGTTATGAAATGGTTGGCTTCGTCCATCGTTCATTCGTTCACTTTAAAAGAATCATCCTTTCAATAGCTTGTTGCCCAGCAGCTGTCCCGTGCCAGGCGGTGGAGAGGGAAGAGAACTTTCTTATGTTTATATGTCGAAGAATAGCTGGCGGAAGGATGCTGCAGAATAGGGAGCATCCCGTGCAAAGGTCTGGCGGGAGCTGGCTTGAGGTGTGTGTTTTTAAAAGATGTTTTTATTTACTTTAGAGAGAGGAAGGGAGAAAAGCATCTATCGGCTGCCTCCTGCACGCCCCCTGCTGGGGACCCAGCGTGTGCCCTGACCGGGAGTGGAACTGGCGACCTCTCTGCACCGGAGGACGCTCAGCCAACGGGGCCCCACCGGCCAGGGCTGGCCTGAGGTTTGAAAACTGAAAGGCCTTTGTGGCCAGTGTGACCAGACAGCAGTGAGCAAAGGGGAAAGAAGTCTAGAATGTACAGTGCCCCCTCCTGTGTGCAGGGTAAAGAGGCTGACCACATTTGCAGATGAGTTGGAATCTCATTGAGAATGACGGACAGACGAGTATAGCGAGAGTGCAAGTGCGAAGTACAGTAGAAAGAAGAAAGAGAAAGCTTGTTGTTTGTTTGGGGAAGACCACAAGAGAAGGGGAGACTGGAGCAGTGTCTTGAAGGATTGAGAGAATGGGGGTGGACAAAGAGGAAGAGAAACGTCATTTCCAGTTGGGGTGGGGGAGGGGATTTGGGCTTTTTGCCGATAGGCATTAGGGCAGTAATTGATGTTTTTTAAAAAAAATATATTTTATTGATTTTTTACAGATAGGAAGGGAGAGGGATAGAGAGTTAGAAATATTGATGAGAGAGAAACATCGATCAGCTGCCTCCTGCACACTCCCCACTGGGGATGTGCCCACAACCAAGGTAAATGCCCTTGACTGGAATCGAACCTGGGACCCTTGAGTCTGCAGGCTGATGCTCTATCCACTGAGCCAAACCGGTTAGGGCAGTAATTGATGTTTTTTTAGGGGGGTAACAGGTGGTACTGGGAGTGATGCAGGATGGAGTGTGGTGAAGGAAAGAACAGTGTGGAGCGGGAGACCATAGAGGAGAAAGGCTGGACTGAAAGTTCATGAGGTATGGACTGGGTCCTTGTTCATCATTGTGCTCGACCCCGATCCATCACTGAAGTAGTTGTGGAAATGAGTCTTTGTAGTGCTCCAGGGTGGAAGTGACAGGCCCTAGCCTAGCTCTGCCCTGTGTGGCTCAGTTGGTTGGGTGTCTTCCGGGTGCATTGAAAGGTTTTTTATAAAGGCCCTAGACTAGGATGATAATTGTGGACATGGAGTTGTAGCGGGGAGCACAGAAACAGTCAGAAATGCCCCTGAGGTTTATAGCTGGAGTGACTGGAAAGGAGACATAAGCAAGCACGTCTGGAGGGGGGTGCCCATGATTTCACTGACCATATACAACTGACTCTAGAACAGCACGGGTTTGAACTGTGTGAGTCCACTTGTACATGGATGTTTTTCAATAAATACCTGTACTGTTTTCTTTGTTTTTTAAAAATATATTTGTATTGATTTCAGCAAGGAAGGGAGAGGGAGAGATAGAAACATCGATGAGAGAGAATCATTGATTGGCTGCCTTCTGCATGCCCCCTACTGGGAATCGAACCTGCAACCTGGGCATGTGCCCTGACCAGGAATGGAACTGGCGACCTGTCAGTGCCCCCCGACAATGCTCAACCAACTGAGCCACACGGGCCAGACCTGTGCTGTTTTCGATCCTCTGTTGGGAGTCCACGGATGTGGTCAGCTTACTGTGTGCATTGATTTATACCATTTTATACAGGGAACTTGAGCACCTGCAGATTTTGGTATTTGTGGGGGGTCCTGGAACCAATCCCCCACAGATAACAAGGGACAACTAAATTCTTTTTTCCCCAAGGGTAAAAATTTTATTTTTGAAGAACTTCATGCTTCACATTTTCAATCACATAACAAAACAAAAATGTTATCCTCCCCTCATCCTAGGAATAAATAGGATCATAAAATTTCTTTTGAAATGCAGCTTGGCAAACCGCAGCTCTCGAGCCACATGCGGCTCTTTGGCCCCTTGAGTGTGGCTCTTCCACAAAATACCGACTTCTGCGCATGGGCCACGAAGTTTCAGTTGCACTGTACATGCGCAACCGCACGTGGTACTTTGTGGAAGAGCCACACTCAAGGGGCCAAAGAGCCGCATGTGGCTCGCAAGCCTCGGTTTGCCGACCACGGGTCTAGGTGCCTGGGGCCTGGTGTTACCCTGCTGGGTGGGTGACTGGAGCAGGGTTCTCAGGTGGTGCTTCCCCTGCCTTGGTCTCTGCCATCTTGTGAAGGAGCATTGGGAGGATGGGGGCAATGCCCACATTGTAGAGGCGCTGGTATCCACAATGAGCAGATGGCTGATTTGGATCATGGCGGCTTGCTGATTCTCTTTATCTTCAGCCTCTCCCACAGTTGGGGCAGGTTGTGGGCGAGGAGGTCCCCTATGGTACCTTGGATGGTAAGTTGGATTTCGATGAACCGGTCCCTGAAGCTGTGCTCCCTCTGGGACTCCATCCTTCATCTCCCCAATCTCACCAGCCTGCATTCTGTTGGGATGGGGAAAGACTCTGAGCCAGGGTCAGAGGTCTGTCCCACGTGGTAAGGCGGGAACCTTCGCCATACTGAGGGCTACAGGGGATAGGGAGAGGGAGGGGGTGGGGTGGCGCAGCTGACTCCGGGCCCCAAAGAAGTGCCCATCAGTGGCAGGAGGGTCAAATCCTTCACTGCTGCTGCTCCCTTCCC